ACAGACTTTTTTTATTTTTCTCATTTAATTGTACCTGTTTATCATAGTCGTTATTCTCCATAGTCGTAAAAAAATATTTTGAATCCTCTACCTTTCCTTTCCTTTCTCTCATATTGTGTACAGTTCCCATGCACTATCGATTAACCCTCTATCAAAGATCACATACGTTATTTTGTATCAAAAAAACCTTTATTTTTTCACGAGTATCAATGAAGTTACACAAAAAGAATTCTAAAAAAGAGACATTAAAATTAGGTTTATTTTGTATAACAAGAGTATTATTAAAAAGAAATTTACAAGGGGTGATATATGTAAGTATTGTGTGAATTACGAGGGGGAATGACTAATGTATTCGAAGGCCCACGCTAACTAGACCTAAAAAAAATCGATTTCAGAGAAAGTGTGTAGTATGTGTATGTTTAATACATATAAACAAATAGATAAAAAAGCCATACATATATAAAAAATAAAAACCACCTCTAAAAAAATCCGAATTAGAATTAAAAAAAAACATGTCAAATAAATGCTACAAAAAGAAATAAAGTCCATCGATGTATTATGCCATGATTGTATTGTGTTGTGGCTGTTCAAACAGACAAGCTTTTTTGATCCAAAGAAAAAAGCCAGTTTCAACATAATGATTCGTTCTTTCGTTCGTTATTATATCTTTTCTCTAATTTGTCGCTTCTCTGATGATGATGCGTACTTGAATGCGAGCAACACTTTAGAAATAAGCACAACCTTGCGAACTTTCTCGATAGTACGCTGAACCTTTATCTTCTGCTCATGTTGTTCACGACGATCATGAAGTTTAGATTTACGTTCTTTCGATGGCCATAAAGTGGCGGTGAGTTCGAATGACCAGTATTTAAAGATCTGTACTTTAATGAAATCCAAGACGAAGAAGTAGCCCAGCGATACACCGATGATACTAATACCCCATGACCAGCCGATAGCTTCGGTGAGCAGACCGTAGATCGAGATGAACATGGCGAATACTTGAGTTCCCATGACTGCGATAAAGAATATTGGCGACGGAAGACTTTCCCAAAAGTATCCGGATAGACGGGTCGAGAAGATTAAAAAGTGAGGGCAGGATGAAATATGTAGATACATTATGGTTTCTAGTCGGTCGTCATTTGGGTCATTATCGGGAATGTTGAAAACGTCACGTGCAACAAAGTAGTGGGCGAATGAAGCGGCAGTTAAGAATAGACCGAGTACAATTGAAAGTGTAATTAATTGACCAAGACGCCATTTATCGGGACGTTTCGAGATCTTTGCATTGTCAACGGAAATTACAAGTGTGGCAGCATCGTTCAACAAAGTAATCAAAATCAATAGAATAGCCTTCATTTCCCAGTCACGAGCAAGTATGATGCAGAAGAAAAAGATCAAAAAGTGGACTGTCGAAGTGATTCTGTAAAGAGCATAAGATCTCATTCGTTGGAAGATTGCACGTGAAGTAGTAATACCATCAACAATAGTCGATAGACCAGGCGCCAACAATACAATATCAGCAGCAGAACGAGCAGCATCCGTACATCCATGCACAGCAATACCGACATTAGCTTTCTTCAAAGCAGGAGCATCGTTTACCCCATCACCAGTCATACCAACCAATAGACCACGTTTTTGCAGTAATTCGACCACTCGATATTTATGTTCGGGAATAACTTGAGCGAAACCATCAGCACGTTCACAATGTTGCGTCACTTCTTCTTCAGATTTGTTTGGATCCACTAAATGGTTAGCGTCAAGAATAACACGTTGCATACCAAGACGCATGGCGACTTCTTTAGCAATAATCAATTGATCACCGGTGATCATTTTCACATCAACACCATACCCCTTGCAGCGTCTGATTGTTTCCGCAGAGTCAGGACGAGGAGGATCAAGAAGCGAAATCATACCAACAAGCTGATATGTTTCTAGATCACCGGGAATAGTTTTGGCAACACCAAGAGCACGAAGACCACGTCTGGCTAAATTGTTCACTGCACGTACTGCATCATCATCACCGCCGACCAATCGAATAATGACTTGAGGCGCACCTTTAGCTACTTTGAATGCTTCATTAGTCTCGTGATTAACTACGGTTGCTGAAGTCATTTTTGTGGTCGGGTTGAACGGAACAAAAGCGGTGACTTTGTATCCTGGAATTTCGTGTTTATTCGGTCGATTTTTAAGAATCTCAAGACTTTCTTCGGCAGCAGTTCTTACGGCAAATTCAATTGGATCATTTGCACCGGGTTCGGCAGACAGATACGAATACAATAGAATGTCCTCCTTGGTGAATCCAGATGATAGATATGGTTCATCAAAGGTCAATTCGTTGAGCGTCAAAGTGCCAGTCTTGTCAGAACAAAGTATCGAGACGGAAGCCATCTCTTCGACAGCGGTCAATCGTTTCACAATAACTTTTTTCGCGGCTAATTGTTTAGCACCGACAGCCATAGTGACAGACAAGACGGTTGGCAGACCCACCGGAATAGCAGCAATAGTTAAAACTAGTACGGTTTGGAGTACCTTGAGAACCTCACCTTTTTCTGTACCACGGAATTTCACCATTTGATAAATGAAGATGATGGAAACGAGCACTGTAGTAATGAGAATTAAGAAATTTCCGATTTGATTGACAACTTTTTGGAAGTGTCCTTGTTCGACAGTGATTGAAATCAAATTAGCAGCACGACCAATGAAAGTATTTGATCCTGTTTTTGTGACAACAGCCAACATTTGACCTTGTTTAACAATCGAAGACGAATAAACAGTGTCTCCTTTTTTCTTCTCAACGGGCAACGATTCACCGGTCAACGCAGACTGATCAATTGATAAGTGACCTTCTGTTTCACCACCCGTCACGTTTATACCTAAAAGACGAGCGTCAGCCGGAACGATGTCGCCGAGACGAAGACCAATCACGTCACCGGGCACAAGTTCTGACACGTCAAGATCTACAAAGTGACCGTCTCGCCATACTTTGGCTTTTTGTGCGAGTGTTTGTTTGAGTGCGTCTAATGCAGATTCGGCACGAGCTTCTTCGATGAAACCAATGAATGCGTTGACAAAAAGTAGAGCAAGAATAATGCCGAAATCCAGCTATTTATTTTTTATCATGATGTATTTTATATTAATAAATAATCATTAAATAATGTATCAATATTAACTAATACTAATAATAATATATTAACACATACCCAGTCCTTGACAATACCAGCAAAGAGACACGCAAGCTCGATCAGATACGCTATCGCACCAGTGAAATATGACAAAAACTTCAAGAAAGGGTTAGTTTTGACTTCTGCCAGCTCATTACGTCCAAACTTTTCCAGACGAGCTTGAGCTTCAGCGGTGGTCAAACCCTTACTCGGGTCAGTATGAAGTAACTCCTCCAACTCTGGTGGTATATCATCTGAAACTTGCACATGTTCGTGATGTTCAAGTTCCACGTTACCGACTTTTTGTATTTCTTCAGCTTTCTTTTCCGAGAGTTCGGTGATTTCGGCCACTTGGACCGTTTGATACTTGTGTTCTTCTGTCATTATTATTGTTTTTGTTGTGTAGTTTTAATAGCGACTCTTTTAAAAGAAATTTTGTACAGTCTATATAAGAAGATATTTTTTTTAAGGGAAGTTAACTTTTAAGAGGAGAATGAAGTAGTACTTTTAATTTAATTAATTATATGTGGGGATATTTTGTTTATGATTATCCTTATTATTATTAATAAACAGTGTGTTTGATGTTTTGTGTATGGAAGTGAAAAAAAAAGGAGATTTTTATTTGGTGACTTTGATGATGAAAGAAACACCGAAAAAATGGAAAAGAAAAAGGAAAAGGTTCTATCCGAATTAACTTTGGATGTTTTGTTGCTAGGGTGTTTTTTTTGTTTGTATATATTTATACTTTGTTTTACCGAGAAAGCCCAAAGATTGAAAGAAACTACTGATAGTGGAAAGGTAGAGATAAAGATAATGCTGAAGATTTCTCACTACCGCTTGGGGTGAACATTGAATAATACGCGAATGCTAAATAATTAGTTTCGACACCACCAACATGAAAAATATAGGGAAAAGACCAAAGAAGAATAAAGATAATGAGTGCTTTTCTTTTTTCTGCTACGAGAAGTAAAAAGTAGTTTTTTCTGAAATCTTTTAAGGATCAGTCACCTAATTTTATACAATATTCGAGACTAATATGTTTTAATGTATTATTATTGTTATGTTGTATGACTTAAATATATAATCTATCAAAATGATAATAATATGGTAATAAGTTTTGGATGATCGGATTGGATAATTAATATCGGCTAATTAATTGAGTGACCAAACTCTATGTTGTAGTATGTCATGATGGGTGTAAGTCGGTTAAACTAATAAATAATATGGATAAAATAAATATTAGAATATACAGTAGGTAATATCTTCAATCAATACCCACCAGGCCAGGGTAATAATATTCACTATATGATAATATCCATCTGAGGACGATATTAAAGAGCACTTATTTTTACTAAAAGCATTCATAGTAATAATAATATTATAAATAAAAAACGGGATTTTATACAAGTTACGTAAAAGACATGTATATTTATTTATTTTCAATGTGATCAAAATAACAATCATTGTGATACTGATACGTTTGGATATATCAATTAAATATATTTAATACTCTACCAAATGATGATCTTTCTCTCAGGCGTAGTAATATAACTTTAAAGGTATACCTTACACCTTACACCTTACACCCACAAAACAAAATGTTGAAAATGCAACGAAATAAAATATTGAAAACATTCAATACACTATCATTCATAAAAAACCATCTTCCATTTCCAAAGTTAACCATATAACAAACACAACATAATCACATCATTCGTTCCTAACTATTAACCAATCAACTAGAATAAAACTTTTTTATGTAGTCTGTTATACATACATGCATTATATATACATATCTATCTATTTATCTACGTATATATATATATATATATATATATATATATATATATATATATATATATATATATA